CAGTGGTGGTATCCCCACTCGGGCTTACTGGTCTTCCATCTTGCTTTACCGAAAAGCATAAATTAAATGATATCTGGGAATTACGCACTCTTCTCGCTTGCCAGCCGCCGTAAGCTCTTCTCTCTTGATTGCCGACAGCCAAAAACTATTCACCGTTAGTTAGTACCTAGTGCCGTGAGTACCGTGATTTAGTTCATCGATTAACCCCGTTTATCTGCTAAGGTAGGAACCGTATATATATATTTTTTATATTGGCTTTTATATAATTAGTTGGGACACCCGTGTGACAAGTGAAAAATTTTGATTCATATCAAGGGTATATTATTTTATCCCTCAGTGGGAAACCGTTGGCAATTTTTTATTTGAGGTTGGACCTAGACTAGACACCGAGTGCTCTCTTTGTCAGCGACTATATCCAATTTCTTTTAAAAATCGCCCAGTTAACATCGAAGTGAGAGGTTCGACCTGTTTCAATTTTTTTTTCTATTATTTTATTGTTTTATTTTCTTTTTTCAGAGGTTCGATCTGTTCTCGGACTAGAGTGCTCTCTCTCCTGATGACGTATCTAATTTCCCCAAAAGACGTTTAAATTAATTTCCGCGTCTCACTTCGTGTAAAATTTCTTTCCTTTAATTTTTTATTCAGCTGTATTTGAATCATTCCGTTTCCCCTGTCCACAATTAGTTATTGAATGAAGTCAGACGACTTCCGTAAAATTAAATTCACACATACGTTCTCGATAGACTCTGAGCAAAATTCAAAAATTTTATTTTCTACGACCGTCGTGGTCGCCGTTCAAAACACCGCGTAAATAAACCATATTTATCAGTAGGCGAGAATTTTCGTTTCCCATCGCTTGGTTATTAAGATACAAGGGGGCTCCGATAATTTTGATTTCATTTATTTGCTTGCATTTGATTACCGTCATATTTAAATTGTTTCAAGTGTATTAATTTATTTTCATACATTTTCCGTATACTGGGCGTTTCACGATTCCCAGTCCGATTAGCCTCCTGTGCTAATAAACCATAAATATTTCCCTATGTTTAAATAATTTTCAATAATAATAATAATAATTTATTTTTCAATTTTAATCATTTATTTTTAAAGAATAGATTTTCCAAATGCAGGGAGCCGTTCATATATAATTACCGTTGTATTTTTTTTTTTTTTTGTAAATATATATTGTATTACCTGTTCCTGTGTTTCTCTTATTGCTGGTTCTTAACCGTTCTCTTTCAGGGTACCGTAGGGTACGAGGTGTAAAGGAGATAAGTGTTTTATTTTTATTTAGTCTAGTATAGTGGCTACCTAGCAATAACCGCCTGGAATTATTTTTTTACCTCCATTGAGTTTACCTTGAGTACACTCTGGTGTACTTCAGGATCGCAGAGCAAATTGCGATAACAAAACTGGCGCCTGAGCAACCCCTATTCGGGAATCACCATCAGAACGCCATACAGACTCGCTGATTCACTGTAGGTGAACCAGAAGCCTGTCACAGTACTTAGTAACATTACCACACCTCCAAACAGATTACTTGTATTACATTTTAATAATATAGATAAAAATTTTGAAAGACGGTTAGTCATCAAATGAACAACGTTACAAAAATGGATTTTTAAATAAAATTAATGAAACTCGAGTTAATCTCCTAGAAAGAAAAACTTTATTTTTTTAATAGAAAATAGAAAAGTTAAATTTCCAAATTAAAAAAGCCCTATAATTTATTTCTAATGTTACATTTAAACTGCAGTCAAAACTTCAGAATCAAAGATATTTCAACAATTTAATTCGAAATTATTATAATGATAGTAGGTTTGTTCGGGTTTCTTTAAAACTCGATGCAAACCGTCCTAGAACCAGTGAAACAGTTGAATTCCAAATTATTTGTCGCATACAACTAGTAAAACGGTCCACTGGTCAGCTAATCCTCTGATAGTTCTCAATGTAGTTTTGAAGAACCCGAACAGACCTAGTATGAGAGCTGCGGCAATGTTTTAAAGACCAAAAAGATAAACAAAATAATTAAAGTTACTGCATTTAATTTTCAAATCAAGTACATGAATTACTTGTGTTGCAATTTCTGATTTTCATTATTTTAACCAAAGATAGTTAACGTACCTAAATAGTAATAAAATGTTTGTGATATTAGAGCAACTCAAAGACAATAAATATTTTGAGATAATTTATAATACTAGCATTTGTTTTTAAGTCAAACTTATTAGATAATCTTTATTTATTTTCATGAAACTATAAGTATTTTTTATAAAAACTAGTAAACATTTGTAAAAATAGATTGTACTTTGTATGGAAATAAACACTAGCATATACAAATTATGATGGTATGTGGGGTTATCCGGGTTTTCCTCACCTGTAAATAAAATGAAATCATCAGCTATTATAAAAGTCGTCCCATAGTGCCATAGCAAATAATAATAATAGCCATTATTGCCTCGCACAAGCTCTGCTTACGGGGTGAAGTGTAGGAAAATCTATTATTATTGATGTATTGCCATTTATTTGATTTGTATATTTTTCTTGTAAATTTTTAGTAACTATATTATATAAAGCTTTGTATGGAATTTATTTTACCCCTCATAATTATTTGTCATAAAATTTTTAATTTTTATTGGAATTTTTACAAACAGCTAATAAAAAGCAAAATTTTGATTATAATTAAGAGGAAAATTTACTTCAGCAATTATATTTTTCCAACCAATACGAAATAGAGCCATAAACATTTCTATAGTTTTTTTTTTAATTTTTTGGGAATTAAAAATATGTACATACAGGTAAAAGTGAAATTATTCCGAAATTTGATTTAATTATTTTCTCAGAAATTAAGAATATCTTTACACAAACAAAATTTTGCGTTTTTTTCCATCAAAATTTAATCAAATTTTAAAAAAGTGGCTCGATAGGGACATATTTAACGTAAACGTACATGTTTTTTATTTCATTAAAAATTAAAAAAAACGATCTAAAATTTTGGATGACTATGTTACCGTAAATACCCGAAATTCGTTATTACCCGTAACATTTAGTAAGAACCCGAAATAAGTAGGAGTATCGGTAAATTCGCGTTCTTACTAGTAAGAACGCGTAATTACTTCGAGGTTTAGGAAAATACCGAATTAAAACTTTTATTCGGCTATTTACTGAAATTTTCAGTTAGAACGCGTTCTTTCTAAGTGTAAGTTAGTAACTAATGAGTGTTACTCGATCTTTGGAGGCAAACTCCATATAAGATCATGTTTGACATCGAACCTAGAGTTGGATTAACTACATCGTCTTTGCCTCCTGAGGTTATTTCATCTCTAGAGCGGGAAGAGGATTTAGAGAAAGTCGATAATGATGTTACCACGATGAGAGAAGAAACTCAAGGAGAAGATTCAAATTCAGAAGGCGACATTGCTGAAAAAGATCCAGAAGAAGATCAAGAACAAAAACGCTTTTGCAACAAATGTGGTGCTATTTTACATTGATCGAGACTTCTGTTTGAATTTTAAAACATAAGACAATATAAAAACAGTAAGGTCAGAAGCAAGCCAATCGCTAATTCATCAGGCAAAAAAGATGAAAAGCTACAGTGATAAAACACATCCACCTGCAAACGTTGGCGATAATCTTATGGTACCCATTTCTGATGTGGATAAAGCAAAAGGTGCTTTCAGAAATATAATAGCTGTTGTGTTACTGACGACTGACGATAACATGTACCAGTTAGGTACAAAAGATGGAGTCATAAATCATCTGTATACCAGATCCGAATTTGATATTTGCAAGCAAAAATTTATTGACATTGACTAAGGAAAGATTAACAAATTTCTTTATGTCAAGCAGCTTCATCTAATTTTGGTTCTAGCCAGAGTTTTTTATGTGCAAATGCACTAAAAATTGTAAAAGTAAATTATGTAAATGCAAAAAAAATAATGCTCTGTGAAATTTAAAATGCCATAATAGTACCCCTTGCAATAATAAGTAAGTTAAGTTATTATTGTTTAGTTTTGTTTAAAATTTCGCTTGTTCTATGTTTCATTTGTTCTGTAAAATTTATTTTTTTTTGTGCAATAAATTAACTAAAACCAACCGCACTTTATTCTCTTACAGATACTTACCTACAAATTCGGTTATTTACTGTTGTGTGCTTAGAAAGAACGCGTTCTAACTAAAATTTCAGTAAATAGCAGAATAAAAGTTTTAATTCGGTATTTTTCTAGACATCGTTGTAATTACGCGGTCTTACTAGTAAGAACACGAAATTATTGACACTCTTAGTTATTTCGGGTTCTTACTAGTTATTACGCGTATTAACGGATTTCGGGTATTTACGGTAACAGCTATATTTTGTATTAGATAGAAAATAATAATTGCTAAAGTAAATTATTCTTTAAGTAGAAAAACTGCCAATTTTCAAAATAAATATATTACGGGTAACTACATTACCGACAGAGTATGATTAGTTCAACCATCCGCAAAATTTCTACAAAAACACTGCAACTCTTAACTATCCTTCCTCCATGGTTTGTATGACCAGCGGCGCAACGATAACATAGGTGATCCGAAACACCATTTCTCTACATTTAATGATGGAGAACGTGGCAAAAAGGACAAGATATAAAATTATCAGGAACAGAGTAATCAGTGGGAAGTCTATTATCTCCAGACCGAAGATACTTGGGATATTCCCCAAGACGAAAAACAGAAAGAAGTACAGTTTTGTTAAAAACTTTAAAACTACAGAGCTGAGTTGAAAGAAAGAATGGAGCCAAGACTCTATGGTGTTTGTAACCGAAAGGCCTGCAATTCAATGGTATATGCAAATCCACAGGTTAAAATGAATTTTTAAAAATTTATTTGATTTGTTAGAGCACCCAAATTTCTCCCCAATTTCTTTAGCATTTGTTTCAGCAATTTAAACCGACAAAATTTTAACAATAAACCTTCAGTTTATTCGTCATTTTTAATTAAATATAAAAAGATGTAAATTTACTTACTGCGCATTTTTCACTTTTAATTTAGATAGTCCACTGATGGTTGCATCAAAGTAATTCTGTACCAAATTAACAGCGTTAGTTCCAGCTCCGATTGTAATTTGATTAACTTTTAAAGGATCAATGGAAGGAACTTTTAATGCTGGCAAACCTAAAAGAAGCAATTTAATTAATAAATTATCAAGGGTAATACAATGAGACCAATTTTTAGTTTATCTAAATTTTGAGTGTTTTTGATATCAATTTGTCAAGACATAATTGTGTCATTAATAATCTGAATAGAGTCTGAGAGCTTTAGCTCGATTACATTATGCTTTGATTATTAATGATAAAATTATGTCGAAGCAAATTGCAAAACGAAAAATTTGTTAACAATAAAAATAGGCACTAATTTATTAAGGTTGATTTATATTTTATAAATACACAATTAATTTTATTTTCGGTTCATTTTGAAACGTTCCACGAGATATTAGCTTGTACTGTGACAATAAATATATTTGACAGTAGCCGTTATTTAATATTATACCTATAATCAAGTATGCGAGTTGCTGTCAACATAGATGAATATCCAATCACCAATCGTCGATAGTCGATTTGAAATAATAGGGAAAATAGCTAAAGCTCTCGGGCCCAATTCAGATTATTAATGACACAATTATGTCCAGTCAAATTGATATCAAAAATACTTAAAATTTAGATACATTAAAAATAGTCGACTATTTATTAATAGCCCAAGAGCCCACTGCAAATTTTTACCGTCATCTGATAACGAAATGAAATATATCCCAAAAGCATGGAAAAACCCTGTACTTTACCAAATGGCACCTGTGCCAATCCCAATCCTGAGCAAAGTAGCTTAAAAAAATTATTTTATATTAAAAAAATCACATAAGGCATGACAGCGCTAATTTTGTTTGCCCTTAAAGTTTTCCAGAAAATAACATTCAAATATATCTTGATATATATCGGTAAAGGGAAACATTTTCTTCCGCTTAACATCGCACAAAAATATCTATCCACGATTAGTGGGTAAAAATCATTAAAAATATGAATCAATGTTTACTGATTTAAAAATTTATTTGTATGCCTATTCTTGTGATTTATTTTTACAGGTTGCCATAGAAACACCAAAAAAACTACTATGATTATGGTTTAAAATAATTGTCTAATTAGTATAGTTTATAATTATTATTGACTATCTCTGCAAATGGTTTATACAATGCCATCCGTCTTCCTTTCATACATAAACATGGTTTAAAAGGTAGGAAAAAATATTAATAATTCAGGTTTAAAAGCTAGGTCCACAATGAATTAGCATTGTAATTTTCAGGGAAAACAAAAATTGTCGCTGTCATGTCATATGTAATTTTTTGAACATAAAATAATTTTTTTAACCACTTTGCCTAGGAAAGAAATTGGCACAGGTGCAATTTGGTAAAATACAATGTTGTTACATTCCTTTGGAGCAAATTTCATTTCGTTATCAGATGACGGTCAAAATTTGCAGTAGGCTCTCATACTACAAGGTCTTGTTATATTATCCTTGAAAATTTGTTACTAGATGGTTAAAAAAACAAATGTTTCTGCCAAAGGAGAGCTGATTTTAAATTTCTAATAATTGTTTATGAGGTTTTCGATAGACAGTTTATAATATATACAGCAATTATATATGTCAATATATTTGCAATTAAAGGTATTTAAAAAATATATTTTTTATTTGACCTGTGTGACAAATTGTAAAAATGACAAAATTTACAATAGAAACTAAAAAATGGTAGGTAAAGTTTTATATAATAATATTTTTTACAAAAAGTCAAGCTTTCTACGTAACCTGATATATATTTAAAAATAATTTCAAATTATGAAGAAAATTTAGTTTACTAACTAGTAATGTTTATAGATGATTTTTAACGTATTAAAAACAAAACAAATATTACACTAACTAAAATATTAATTTATTAATAGTTGTAGTGTTTGAAAACAGAATTATGTTAATCATAATAACTACACTTAAGACAAACTCAAATAATAAAAAAACAGCGATATTGGCTCTTGTACAAAGTTTTGAACTAACTTGTAAATGATAAAATTATTGGAAAAAGTGAACACTTATTTTAAATTACAAAAATGTGTTTTTTTTTTATGTAAACTTTGAACTCTTCTCACAGGCAAACAGTAAATTTCGGTATATAAATAAATTGGGTTCATTCATCTTATTTTGACCCTTACTACACGTGGTAGTTCTGTGTCTTAGCAATTTCGGAACACCTTGTATATTTATGGTTGTGTATTCAATAGTGTTTTGACTTATCTTAAACTTTTTGTTTTAATGGATCAATAAAAATGTATATATTTGTTTAAAAAAAAATAGGAGATTGCTGCAGGGCTCCAGGCTGTTGGATTTCTGGAAATTAATTTTGTATGTCAATTCATCCCCTTACCAATAAAAGTTGACTTGCTCTTATTTTTCTAAAATTTACGTAAAATTAAAACATATTTCGACTGATTGGTTTTGAAATGAAAGCGAGTACCTATTAAGGAACTGACTTTATCAAGTAAAAGTAAAAGTTTTTATACATAAATGAAGGTCATTAACAAAACTATTGCGTGTCGTTTATTTACATGTTTTTAAACTTGAAAATCATGGTTTTCCTAAATAGTTATTATTTAAAAAGATTATTATTGATTAGGTAATTTATTTTGTAATTAAAAATTGAGAACTCTAATATGATATAAATAGGTTTCGCAGCAAAAATTGATAAAAATTACATTAATTATTCTACATTTAGTTCACTAGACATATCAAGGATAAATTTAGCTTCAATAATTTAAGAAAGCTGAATTGCAACTGCCCAAGTAAAAAAATATAATTTATAAGAATGCCAGTATACTGGTTCTCAATAAATATGAATCGTTAATGACATTATAAAAATATAAAACGACTTACATGATATTTATTTTAGAGATCCACCTTGAGTAACAGAATTTTAATCAAAAAATATTATACTGGGTGGCTAACAAGGTTTAAGTCAGTCTATATAAGAAAAACTGTTTAAGAACGATAATAAAATTTTATGGTATTATAAACAATGGAAAGTATTACAGATTTCTTGCATAAAGCAAGTTTCTGGTCAGATATAAATTGCAAAATTTTTAATAGAATTTCTAATAGGACTATATTTTTACATTTTTGTACGAGTCTCTCTTATGATAATTCCACGACACATATTATTTAAAACAGTGATTTATAATGTAATCATATATGACGTAACATATTAGCAAAAATGCAGATGATATAATATACGGTATTATTAAATTAGTATTACAAAGACTCTTACAAAAATAAACATTTAAAATTTTAAATTGCAACAAAGACGTTTCATATCAGAAATAAGCAAAACACTGTTTTTATACTAGGTATACTAGAAAATTTTATTTCCACAGTTTAAATATTTTTAGATATATAAACTATTTAAAACCTGGTGAGCCAGCCAGTTATTTTTTTATATACAGTTAAAAATTAGCTTTCAAACTGAAAAAAAATTATCGGTTATTATAAAAAGGGGTTAAGTAATTTTAAATTATAAGGTTTAACGCTTTCGCTGCCCAAGCTTTAATGTCAACTACACGCTCTGGCCCATCGGTATACGAACATTTAGAAGTTTGGACGTTCTTTAACGTCATAGGCCATACACTATAAAAATTTATTCTGGAGAAAACTATTATATATACAGGGTGATTATAAATACAGACACAAGTTAACACAAAAAGAGAAAATATAGACCTCTATAGGATGTCAAGTACTGATGTCAAAGAAGTATATTACCTGGCCGCTGGCTGATGGTGTACCTATAAATTCATTTATCGATCAAGGTAGTCACGTACTTCTTGAATAGTTGATCCAAGACTGTAAGTTCTCGGAAGCTTATCTAAATAAGGAATTAATAAATCGAAAGAAGTAGGGTATCCAAATGGTGGTACAATTAACCAATGAAGCTGCAGCCACCATGTCAAAATCTTCTAGGGAAGGCTGGACCATTCAAGGCAGGAAGTCAAAGATAATCAAGAATAGCTTAAAAGGTAGTTTGAAAGGATAAAAAAAGACGTAAACTCTCGTCGTAGTTCTGTACAGGCTGTCCTATTAGTGCATAATTACTTGATATTTCAATTTGTATTGTATGCACATGTTTTAAATAAAATTTATGTAGATTTGAAAAACATATAATTTAAAAACTTTTTGGGATATACAGAGTGTTACGCTTTTATCTAGAAAGTAAAAACATGAAATTTTAGTTGACACATGAAAAGTTTTCTTTACACGGACTTGGTATACCTGGTTAGTTGAATTTGTGTTCTGCTGCTTTTCAAATTCGTGTGTATGAGGGAGATGTGAGATACCTTTATAGACAACAGTTGAACAACTTAATTACTTTGAAGAAGAAAATAGATTAGATATCAGGGCAGTCTTTGCAAATGTAAGAAGGACAGAACCGTTTTAATTTTTTTTATATATGTGAAATATTACTTTTTGGTAAAAAGTTTAATTACTTTTAGTTCAAAATATAACGTTAGTTTGTCAAGGGAAATATATAACACACAAGGTTAGAGTAACAAAATAAAGGTATTGCTTTATTTCTTAAGAATTGTTCTAATTTAAAACTTTTCTAGTATATTGTAAAAATTTATTCTATACGTTATTTAGGTACTGCAAAATCTATAGGAAAGTATGTAGTTTTAAATTTAAAAATTTGTAACGGAGACATATTTAGTGTAGTTTTTTACAAATATATAGTGACTTGTTTTTGTGAATGAGTTCAAGTATGGCAGACTAAAATCGTTATTTTTATTATGAATTAATTTGAATTTATTTTAAAATGGGAACTATATGTATATAGTTTTCGTAGTTTTTACACTTGTGATAAAAATATCAAAGTTATGTATATTGGCCATTTACTACACACAGCAAATTCATAGACACAATACATATTACTATTTGACATTCTTGTAAAACCACTAATTTAAAATTGACTTTAAACTAAGTGACTACACACAGAATTGTTTGAAAGCAGCCATAAGGTATACTTTATTTAATGGATACTATAAAACAATTAATAGTAGTTAATAGTAGAGTTAAGTAACAAGAAATTTAAG